CAACTTTCGGTATGTTTCAAAACAGGGAATTGTATTTTGGTCACAGATGTGTCAAGTTTAGAAATGTGCTTCGTAAAACTTTTTGAAAGCTTTAATGAGGTCTTGATAGTTGTAACATTGTTGTAACAACTTGTGTTTGGGAAGGGCATAGGATGTGTTCTTTGAAATCTTGGTAGAATGTGCATGCATAGTTGTACAACAGAAGTGATGATGCCAAGACTGGGGTTGCTGGAATATGGCAGGACAGAAAGGGAACACTGCTTCTGTGTCCACTACATCAACTCACAGACCAACGTAGATGCAATGTATGAATCCCATTTATGTGAAATTGCTGGAATATCGGTCAAATCAGCGTAAATTATCCCACTCACAGACTTAGCTGATGTTGTGGAGCGATTGTACAACTATGTCCTCACCTGCCTCATGTCCTGTTTTCATCAACAGCAGACAGACAGTGACCTCTCAAATGACAATTATGGCTTAACAGTAAGGGTTGTGTATTTGCAAATATATTGTATTTGTGGTGGGCTGTATTCAAATAGAAGAGAGTTTTTCTATTTGTATTATATTTCTATTTAAACGTTGTTAAACTGTCACAGGAAATATTAGCAGCAGAATAATAAAGATGCTTGTTTGCCAAATTTTTAGCGATGCTTGATGCTCTGAATAAACTGCAGATTTTCATTCTTTTTGCATTTAGATTAGCCATTTAATTATTCTTTCAGGGTAATTTTATACAGAGAGTAAGTTAAATTCAGGTTTGGACTAGTTGCTTTGCTGTGGTTAATGGCGATATATGGAAAATGTTGCGATATTTTTTTTCATGTGAATATTGGGAACAATGTGTGAAGCCCATTTCTGGTGTTCCCTGCCGTGATATTGCTGGAATATTGCTAAAAGCGGCGTAAAACGATACACACTCACTCACCCATGTGTATATGTTGCCTACATTTTTAAATCTGTCATTGTGAAAGGATTATAAAAGAGAAAATAGACAGTGCACAGCTGTTGGACTGAGCTGATGTTTACTCGTCCTCCCAGTCTTATTGACTTGTAAAAAACACATGCAGGTTTCCCATGGTAATGAGATGCACATGATGTATTGTCCTGCTCATAAATCGCTGTGCAGTGTTTTCCTCCTGACAGGAATATATTCTTTTTCAGAATTTATTGCCAGTAGTATTTTATCAAGATGACACAAATCAGATTTCAACTTCCGACATGGAGGTGACATACATATATAGTCATGTCACTTCACAGGCATTGAAATCTTTTACCCACTTCTGACATTCAGGGTAAAAAAACTGATACTTTGGCATCTACTTGCACAATGAAATAAAAGTACAATTGGTTTGGCTGTGTTTATATAAAACATTAAGACTCAACACAAGGTAAGGTGGACAATGAGTTAAATGTAAAATAGAATGGTTGTGATTTGCACTTGATAATTGGGATGGTGGGGTAGGCCAGTGGTTCAAGCATTTGCCCGTCACACTGAAGATCCAGGTTTGATTCCACACATTCGTATGATGTGTGACACTCACTCACTCACTCACTCACTCACCCTTATTTGATAACTGAAGAGGATGTTGAGTAATCTATGATAGTTTGGTTGTCACAAGCCATATATTATGTCAGGAAGTGTTAATAGGAAGTCTATTCATGTTTACGTAATAAGTATGACTGTTGGGAAACTCTCAAATTTACACGTGGGCAAGAAGATTACATACATATATAATGGTGGGTGTCATGTCATGCTGACAGCCATTGTTAATCTTATTTTTTAAAGACCTACAAGGTTTTAATTATTACGTGTACCCACAGACCTGACAACAGTCTTTTGGAAGAGTGAGTATTGTTTTACATAGCTTTCAAGAATATTCTGGCAATATTACATTACAGGACCCAATAAATGGGCTTCACACATTGTACCCATGTGAGGCTTTGAAACCTTGGTCTTCGTCAGGATGAGCAAATGCTTTCACCACTGTAATATCCCATCACCCCTCTTTTCAAAGAGATTAAGGAGTGAGTGAGTGAGTATGGTTTTATGCCGCTTTTAGCAATATTCCAGCAATATCATGACAGGGGACACCAGAAATAGACTTCACACATTGTACCCATGTGGGGAATCGAACCCGGGCCTTCAGCATGCTGCTCTGATTAGGGAGCAAGTGATTGCTGCTGCATCAGCAGTGGAGGAGGAGAGTAGATTAGACTAGGTTTAGATGTGAGTTTGGAGATAAACATACTTCGTCCTGTACATAGAGCTGGGCTTCCATGTTGAACCATGCAGGAAACTTGAAACTGAACATGCTCACAGTTGTCCCAAAACTTGGAATACAGCCTTTGTGTCTTCACCTAACAATGTGTTTGCCACACAAAATCTAAATGTTAAGCCAAACTCACTCACCCACTTACTCACTCACCAAATGCAGGGTAGGGGCCAAGCAATCTCACGAACTGCACTGCAACAACAGCAGTGCATTGCCATTGCATAGAGTTTGTTAAAAGGACATGGAATTCTTGTGGCAATTCTCAATTTGCAACTCTGCTGCCAAATCTCAAATATTATCTGGCTGATTCTCACAAATTCATCTCACACATATTCTATAGGAGAGATATCTGGTGAACTTTGCAGGCCAAGAACTGTTGAAGAAAAGCCATGCTATGAGAGGATGGGCATTATCCTGTTGGAATGTCAATCCTGGGCAGTGATGTTGTTGGAATGAAATTGCCGCTGGTCCGAGAATCTGATCTCTGATGGTCTGAGCAGTGGTCACCGCAGTCGGGGGCCGGTGCCGGAGATGGGTCAGCCATGTGTCCTGGCTTGCTGTTGTGATTGTTTGGCTTCTTGGTTGTTTAGCGCCGCACTCAGCAATATTCCAATTATATGGCAGCGGTCTGTAAATAATCAAGTCTGGGCCAGACAGTCCAGTGATCAACAGGATGAGCATCGAAACCTCTGTCTTGTCCTGTAGAAACCTCTGTCTTGTCCAGTAGAAACCTCTGTCTTGTCCTGTAGAAACCTCTGTCTTGTCAGTAGAAACCTCTGTCTTGTCCTGTAGAAACCTCTGTTTGTCAGTAGAAACCTCTGTCTTGTCCAGTAGAAACCTCTGTCTTGTCAGTAGAAACCTCTGTCTTGTCCTGTAGAAACCTCTGTCTTGTCAGTAGAAACCTCTGTCTTGTCCTGTAGAAACCTCTGTCTTGTCAGTAGAAACCTCTGTCTTGTCCTGTAGAAACCTCTGTCTTGTCAGTAGAAACCTCTGTCTTGTCAGTAGAAACCTCTGTCTTGTCCTGTAGAAACCTCTGTCTTGTCAGTAGAAACCTCTGTCTTGTCCTGTAGAAACCTCTGTCTTGTCAGTAGAAACCTCTGTCTTGTCCTGTAGAAACCTCTGTCTTGTCCTGTGGAAACCTCTGTCTTGTCCTGTAGAAACCTCTGTCTTATCCTGTGGAAACCTCTGTCTTGTCCTGTAGAAACCTCTGTCTTGTCCTGTAGAAACCTCTGTCTTGTCAGTAGAAACCTCTGTCTTGTCCTGTAGAAACCTCTGTCTTGTCAGTAGAAACCTCTGTCTTGTCCTGTAGAAACCTCTGTCTTGTCAGTAGAAACCTCTGTCTTGTCCTGTAGAAACCTCTGTCTTGTCCTGTAGAAACCTCTGCAGGGGTGGAAATAACCCATTGCCCGACGTCCGAGTCCAGTGTTTTTTTCTGTCGGGCAAGCAAATTTGTATATCACACTGTACCGGTGTCCAGTTGACTTTCCAATGTTAATTATGTTGTTTATTTAAAAAATCAAGAAGAAAACGGCCGGTATAGTGGAAAAATTATCAGGGCAAGTGATTTTACATGTGCCACTGTTCCGGAGTACACTACCAATTTTAAAGTTATTTCCACCCCTGCTTCTGTCTTGTCCTGTAGAAATCTCTGTCTTGTCCTGTAGAAACCTCTGTCTTGTCCTGTAGAAAACTCTGTCTTGTCCTGTAAAAACCTCTGTCTTGGACATTGGGGGTGATGGGGTGGTAGTCTTGATGTTAAAGCGTTCGCTTTTAATGCCGAAGACTCGGGATCAATTCCCACGTGAGTACTATGTGTGAAGCCCATTTCTGGTGTCCCCCGGCGTGATATTGCTGGAATATTGCAAAAAAGGGGCATAAAACCATACTCACTCACTCACTCTTTGGACATCGCAAGAGGCAACCACCTTGTTACTAGTAAAAACATGAACGTGCGATGAAAGTTAAGGAAAGAGATAAAAGTGTAATGGCGAAGAAGCTGTCTGTCAACTTTACTTTTGGCACTTGTTTTCAGTGGATTAATTTGCCTGAGTCATAATGTTAATAGATGATGAAAGCCTGATATATGCTGTTTGTACCCTTCAACTAACTCTAGTGGTTAAAACGTTCGCTCGTCACGCCGAAGGCCTGGCTCCGATTCCCCTCATGGGTACAATGTGGGAAGCCCAATTCTGCAGTCCCCCGTTGTGATGTTGCTGGAATATTGCTAAAAGGGACATAAAACCATATTCACTCACTCACTCACTCACTTACTTGCAACTACCAAGGAACTAAGTTTCAGGATTTGTCATCGCAAATTACAGATTTTTCCATGATTATTATTCATTTTCATGACAGGGATCATATTCCCACAGAGAGTAACATCAGAATACAGGGCAACTGGAAATCTGTCAACTCTGACCGAATATGTGTCAAACAAACATGTATTTGCCAAAACTGAATGCCCAAAACACACAGATAGTTAAACGACTATAGAGCTTCTAAGGATGCTGAATATATTTGTGCTATGTGTTTCTTTGATGTATGTCACCATATTCCAGTTGCTCTTGATGTCAGTCACTAGATTGTCTGGTCCAAACTCGAATACATTCATGTACAGTCCGACATCCTGCAACTTGAGGATTGCTGAGAGCACCATGAAAGGAAAAAACAAATACTGAATGTAAAATAAAATTGATCCTAATCAGTTATGTTTTCTTGTTTCAGTTTTCAAACACAACACATCTCAACATTTTCATATGAAGTGGGGGAGTCTTGGCATATGCCGCCAGAGCATGATGGCTTCCTCAGATGACTGCGACAGTGGTCGTTGCTCCCCGGTTACGGCGAGTGATGACTACCAGTTTGTCGACAGCAAGTCTACAATCAATGACATCAAGGAAGCGGACTGCATCTTGCACGTCCTTCAGGATACATATGATCCCCAGCGGCTGAAAGAGTCACTGATAAGGCTACAGACACTCTTCAAAAATGGTAAGGAGCTGGAAATATTCAAGTGGAAAAAGGTTCACTTGTTAAACCATTGAGTTTGATCCTTATTTCATAGTTTATTGTTGAAAGCCTGTGTACCTGGCCTCACATCACCTGGCTTCACATCACCTGGCCTCACATCACCTGGCCTCGCATCACCTGGCTTCACATCACCTGACCTCACATCACCTGGCCTCACATCACCTGGCCTTGCCTCACACCCTGGCCTCACATCACCTGGCTTCACATCACCTGGCCTAACATCACCTGACCTCACATCACCTGACCTCACATCACCTGACCTCACATCACCTGGCCTCACATCACCTGGCCTCACATCACCTGGCCTCTCATCACCTGGCCTCACATCACCTGATTTTACCCCACCTGACCTCACATCACCTGGCCTCACATCACCTGGCTTCACATCACCTGGCTTCACATCATGTCATCTCACATCCCTCACCTCACTCACTGATTCTAACTCAGTCAAAATTTGGTATATATTTGTTATTGAAACCTTTCTCACTGAAACAAGATCACTCAAACTCACATGTACTTCTCTCACTCGTCTCATGTAAACGTGCATGTATTTATACCCACTCACTCATCTAAACTCAATCACTTACTCACTCACGCAAACCCTAACACCCACTCACTCACCCAAACCCTTCCATTCACTCACTCACCAAAGCCAAACCATGCCACTCTCACTCACTCACCCAAACCAAAACTGTGCTACTCACTCACTCACTCACTCACTCACTGAAGAGTAATTTAAGATAATTTGTGTTGTCACCAGCCGTTTAGGAAGACACTTATTTTGTCAGGAAGTGTTATTAAGGAAGCTGATATATCTGTGTATATATTTACTCACCAGTGATTACTCTGTCTGTTCAGTGAGTGTGAAGAAGTTCTTGGAGGACAACCAGATCCACCTTAGTGTGTTGGACGTCATGAAGCACCTCAGTTCCTTCCCAGACATACAGCAGGTAAAACACTCACTTTTCACTCTCATTTTCACTGATGGAGAAACATCATAAGGTAAAATCACACTAGTGACTTCTTTGTCTGAAATAGTCGGTTGTTTGTGCTTAACAATATTCCACAACATGACGGCAGATTGTAAATAATCAAGTCTCGACCAGACAATCCAGTGATTGGAATACAATGACATGCATCAACCAAGTCAGCGAGTCGGGCATCCGATCCCGTTAGTTGCCTCTAATGACAAGCATAATAATAATAATAATAATAATAAATGTGAACTTATAATGCACCTTTTCCATGCACAAGGCCCATGCTCAAAGCGCTAACAAAGTGGGTGGATAGTATACATATATACAATGAGGGACTAGTAGCTAGTATACATATACATATGTACAATGAGAGACTATAGTAGCTAGTCATAATGCAGTGAAAACAGATGAGTCTTGAGAAGTCGTTTGAAGGAATTAAAGTCAACTGCTGATTGAATGGTGATAGGGAGAGAGTTCCAGAGTAGAGGGGCAGAGCAGGCAAAGAATTTCCTTCCAAATGTTTGCAGTTTGAACCAAGGCACAGAGAGTAGGTTCTGATTCTGAGAATGGAGCTGTGTTTCTGGAGTGTATGGGGTAAGAAGTTCTTTCAAGTATTCTGGGCCTTATGCCATTGAGGCATTTGTAGACAAAAACACAATATTTTAAAGTCAATTCTTGATTTAACAGGCAGCCAGTGGAGGTTTTTCATGACAGGTGTTATGTGGGAGCGCTTTGAAGTTCTGCTTATGATTCGGGAGGCTGTATTTTGGACATTTTGCAAGTTTGATAGCAGCTTCTGAGAACTACCAAAAAGGAGGCTATTACAGTAATCAATTCTTGATATAACAAGTCCCTGGACCAGACCGTGTGCTGCATCACGACTGATGAGATGGCGTATTCTGCCAATGGCTCGTAGATGAAAGAAGCATATTCTGCTGAGTTGATTTACATGAGTGTCCATCGCATGGTTTGATGAAGACCAATTCTAACCTTGATCTTCACAGGTTCTCAAATATTTCAAGCAAAATGAGCAGCTGAAGATGAAATTTGTTTTGTTAATGACAGAGTGTGAAAGGTTAAGGTACTTGTCTAAAATATATATCGGTGAGTGAAACCAAGATGTCAAGTCTTTGCTCAACAAACATCTGTTACTGCTGTTATATTGACTTGCAATGTCTAGTCAAGGCTTGTATGCTTCCTTGCTTCATTTCCATGTTCTGTCTCCATCTAGACTTTGAAATTAAACATAACTGACACAGTGTCTGTGTTGAGATTAACCATCAAAGCAAGATTGACAGACGTCATAAAATGAGTTGACAGCAGCTTGAAAGTCTGCCATAATTTTGAAACATCTGGATTATTTTTGGCATCTCTTTGAGACTGCTTTGAGAAGCGTGCTCATGTAGGAGATTTGTGTATGGATTATATGACATAAGATATGAAAGGACCTAAGAATTTTAGGACTTAACATTTGTCATACAAAATGAGTCCGTAGTAGACGTAAGGCAAATATATTCATTTGTCCTTAAGGGTGGTGGAGTAGCCTAATGGTTAAAGTGTCTGCTCATCATGCTGAAGACTTGGGTTCGATTCCCTACATGGGTACAATGTCTTAAGCCCATTTCTTGTGCCCCCTGCAGTGGTATTGCTGGAATATTGCTAAGACCTCAGTGGTGTAAAACTAAACCCACTCATTTGTCTTGGACTACCTTTAGTTGTTTAAACAATGCCCTAAATAATGGCCTAATGACAAGAGAATGATGTTTGTTGTTTGCCAGTTGAATTTTCATAAAATCACGAAAAACTGGTTTTGTGACTATTGTTCTGAAGTTATATTACCAATATTGCAGGTAATGAATGAGGCATTGTGACTATTAATAATGTTGAAACAATATGCAAATTGTTCAGGAAGTTAGGCTCCAAACTTTTCTCATAAATCACATGTTAAATGTTGAAAATATGATGCATCTAAAATAACAGTTTAAGTTTGACTCTAAGGGTGGAGAGACAGTTGATGTATTTTTACATAAAAGTGTCTCCTTATTTCAATTATACGTTTTTTCATAAAATTTCATTCAATTTCATGTTCAAATATTTGAAGGGCATTTAGAAGTTGAATGCATAAGAAAAGCAAGATTTATGGATGTCAACTTCTTTATTGTGAATAACTTGGCATTCTGGAACGCGTGTTATTCACAATGAAGAAATTGATATCCATAAATCTTTCTTTTCTTATTTTCACATTATTTCAAGTTAATTTTCAAAACTTGTAATGTCAAATTATTTCACTCTGGCCCCATTCATTCTTTCCTTTCGTTTCTGTTTTCGTGAAATTGTAGGATTGTTTTTGTTGATTTGTTTATATTCTCATGAAAAATATATTGATGCTACCAAAGTAGCACCACATTTCTTTCATACAAATGGACATATGATATAATCTTTTTACAGATTGGTCTTCAGCTGCTGTGTCAGTTCATAGATGAAAGCCTTGCCTTGGAGAAAAGTCTCAAGAATGAACATGTTCACAGGCAAGTAGTTATTCACATTGATTCCGGTTTAGTGACATGTCTGGACATTTCTGGTATTCTCTGCTTCTAAATCCCAGATGTAAGACTCTAGAGCCAATAGAGTTTCTAAGTAAAACAGGTCAAGTAAAAAAACAACAGTGAAACAGATACTTTTGTGTTTGTGTCAAGATTTATCAAACTTCATTTAAGACCTGAAATCTTACAAATATACAAAAAAAAAGGTGTAAGAAAGTCATATCCTTGGTAAATTCTTTTTAAGTAAAACCAGTAAGGTAGAAGAAACCAGTCATGCAGATACTTTTGTTTTTGTGTCCAGGTTTATTTAACTTCATTTAAGTGAGTGAGTGAGTGAGTTTAGTTTTACACCACACTCAGCAATATTCCAGCTATATGGCGGCGGTCTGTAAGTAATCGAGTCTGGACCAGACAATCCAGTGATCAACAGCATGAGCATCCATCTGCGCAATTGGGAACCGATGACATGTGTCAACCAAGTCAGCGAGCCTAACCACCCGATCCCTTTAGTCGCCTTTTACGACAAGCATAGTCGCCTTTTGAGTCAAGCATGGGTTGCTGAAGACCGATTCTACCCTGGATCTTCAAGGGTCACTTCATTTAAGACCTGAAAGCCGTCATATAGCTGGAATATTGCTGAGCGCGGCGTAAAACTAAACTCACTCACACACTAAGACCTGAAATCTTATAATTAGACCATAAGAAAATGTGTACGAAAATTATATCATTGGTCCTCCCACTAATGTGAAACCATCCAGAATCATTTGCTTGATAACGGTGTTAGTAGCTACACCGAAACGTCGCTCATATTATATTAAAGAAGTTGTATATCCATAGAACTCTCCTCGTTGTTCATCCAGAATATGTGAGATGAGCTTCAGTACCTGTAGTTATATGATATGTATTACTACTGTTACAGACACGTATTGAAGGTGCTGAATGAGAACATCTCCGAAATCCCCATCCATCGGTGTGGGATGAAGCTGTTGGCGTGTCTCTTTGAATCAAGTCAGTTCACGTTCTACACTTTGATGTTTAGTTCTCCAGAATGTTTAGTTCTCCAGAATTCTGCCACAATAAAGACACTAAATGAAACTTCCTCCACTTAATACAGGGACTTATGTGCACTGTCTTTTGAAAACTTTTTCATTTTAACATTTTTAACATTTTAACATTTTTAACATTTTTAACATTTTAACATTTTAACATTTTTAACATTTTAACATTTTAACATTTTAACATTTTTAACATTTTTAACACTTTAACATTTTTAACATTTTAACATTTTAACATTTTAACATTTTTAACATTTTTAACATAAGTCGCACAGTTAACCATGGGTATGAGAACCTAAAAGGGACCACTAATTATAATTCGTTACACACATTCTAACTAAAATATACAGCAAGTGACAAGGACAAAAACAACACCAACCGGGTTCGATTCCCCACATGGGTACAATGTGTTAAGCCCATTTCTGGTGTCCCCCGCAGTGATATTGCTGGAATATTGCTAAAAGCGGCGTAAAACTAAACTCAGTCAGTCAGTCAGTCAGTCATCATAAACATTATAGAGGGTTTTACACGACATGCAAATGTGCATCCAGTACATGGATGCAGAATGGATGCAGAAGAAAAGTTCACTGTGTCCTGAGGGATGTACAGTATTATTCACTGTACCCACAACACATCTATGACTTAGCTAAGTGTTTGGCTGGGGTTTTTTCAGAGCAGTTTTGGAAATCATTTCATCCATCAGTCCATATGATCAATGATTCATTCCAGGCTCTGAAGAAATTATCAAAACATACAGTTCTTTACACTGTTGCAGGAACCTCGTATTGCCCTAATAATTGGTGGACCGCCTCCATGGTGCAGTGGTTAGAGCGTCCGCCCGGAGAGCGGAAGGTCGCGGGTTTGATCCCCCGGCCGCGTCATACCAAAAGACGTTAAAATATGGTACTTGTTGGTGCCTGCCTGGCGTTCGGCATTAATGGGTACAACAAGGACTGGTCGGCTCGGTGCCAGTATAATGTGTCTGAGTGGGGTATTCATGCTTCACTGCGGCATGGTATCTCAGTGGGCTAGCACTATAAAACCAGCTTAAGTCTGGGCTAGTACAAGCAGCCACACATACACATACACGCGCATGCACGTCGTCATATGAGCGAAATATTCTCAAGCATGATGTTAAACCCAATTTCACCTCACCTCACCTCATAATTGGTGGTCCCCCATGTTTGTGTGTCAAGGAAAAACCCTGATTATATATATATTGAAAGAACCAGTTTATGTTATTGGCCCCACATGTCTTTCATTAACAGACATATGATGATGTATACTGGTCGATTATATCAGTGAATAATTCTAGAAAGTTTTTGTTGCATCCATCCTTCACAAAACCAAAACTGTTTATTACTGTATTTTTTGGAAACATTCACAAAACATGACATTGTGAAATTCTGTTCCTTGTTATTGTATTAGAAAGTTTGATAGAAAATAGACTAGAGGAACATGTTGAAAAATGTCACAGTGCCAGTTTCTGAAATATATTTGTATATTTCAACATTTATTGAAGATATTCCTAGTACTAGTATTGTGGGGGCAGTGGGGTAGCCTTATTGGTAAAGCGTTCGCCCGTCACGCGAAGGCCTGGGTTCGATTCCCCACATGGGTACAATGTGGGAAGCCCAATTCTGGTGTCCCCTGCCTTGATATATTGCTAATATGGTGTAAAACCATACTGAGTCAGTCAATCAGTTAGTCATAGTATTGTTAGTTAGTTTTGTTGATGTTTTAAATGAATTTCTTAATAAACCCAAGTTTGCCCTAATTTTGTTTCATGTGTCAGCAGCACACCCACACTTGCTGGTTTCCCCAAGATATTTATAGTCTGAGACCGGCATTTCTTCTGGCATTCCTCCCACATCAAGCTGACATAGAGCGAAATAACTTGAAATACTGGTATAATAATGCAGCACTAAATGCATTCACTCACTCCTTACCTGCTTTCTTGTGTATATGGGGTTGCCCAGTGGTTAAAGTGCTTGCTTGTCACACGGAAGACCCAGGTTCGATTCCCCAAATGGGTGCAATGTGCAAATCCCATATCTGGTGTCCCCCCAGAATATTGCGAAAAGCAGCGTAAAAGTAAGCTCACTCACTCACTCACTCACTCACTCACTCACTCACTCACTCTTCCCTTGTTTCCCCCCTGAAGGATACATCCGTGTTGACCTGACGTCCACCAACCTCCTGAACGACGTCATCAGTTACCTTTTCCGTGCCATCTCCAACTTCCAGGAAGATGCTGAGATTCAAGTCCATGCCTTGACCTGCCTCCGCCATATTCTTCAAGAAGGTTTGTAGACTGACAGGAGTTATCCCCCTTTGTTGTCTTGTTGGATTTGTTTGTTTAAAGTACACAGTTAACAGGGACTTACCAAGTATACGAAAATATCAACTTCGGGAAAGCAATTGATATTTTGTTTATACTTGTACTTTCTAAATCAGAGATATTCTAACACTCCGTTCAATACATTAATGTTTAATTGATCATGAATATATCTTGCTCTTTATTGGACCTGTTATCAGTGAGGACCAGGAGATTTCTACCAAGCTGTAGCTACAGTTATAGCTTATGATGAAAATAAGGACTGGGAAACTTGTTGGTCAATTTTTGTGCAGATTCACTGCTGAAACTTTACAATGTACAGAGATATTGCCAAGGGGCTTGAATATATTGATGCGGACCATTAGACAAATTATCTGTACATGACGTCATGTAAAGCTTTCCACATGAGCAGAGGTGAAGGATTAGTCTGGGAGTGTGTCCAAGTAGTAGTGTGACGAAAAACCCTTGATAGGTTGTGGTGTTAGGGGTCTGCAAAGAGAACTGGTGTATAATCTGTGGAAGCTTGTGTACCATTCTCCTGGGACGGAACAGGTCCTTGGCCAGTGTAGGTCCAACCTTCCACTTAATTGCATGTGCCCCCATTGATGATTTAACCTGTGAAGATCTGGGTTATAACTGATCTTCAGTAACCCATGCGTGTCGTAAGAGGCGACTAACGGGATCGGGTGGTCAGGCTCAGGTCTTACACGCCATGTATATATTTCTCCTTGTGCAAATGTTGTGTATCATTTGCTTGATAACGGTGTTAGGATCTACACCGAAACATCGCAACTACTACTGCAACAAAGAAGTTGTCTATCCATAAAAAGTGTTCCTCTACTATTGTTAAAGTTGTAAGCCGGCTTTATCAACAGTTTGTACATCAAACAGCAACATAGTGTTGAATCATTTAATGCAATATTAACACAGCTTTATTGCATTTCTGAGGTAGGATGATTTATACATCATTATAACATTATCTTTAAAAATATTAAAAAATTATGGGCCTTTTTCTTTAAATATAAACTGTACAATATTGTTGGGGAATTTAAGTATGATCTTTGATTATAACTACAAAATTTCATTCCTGTTTCAAGATAAGTACTTGGCTGAGATGTTCATTCGTAATTACGTGCCAGTCGTCATGGAAACCCTGCACCTGAATCAAGATGTATCAAGTGTGGTGTGCAAGACTTTGGATGTATTTTACACAATAGCTCAGGACCGTGAGTCACACACGTTCACCCCCCTAACCCCCTTTGACGTGGTCCCCCCTTCCAGTCACATGTGTGTGCTTATGTTACCTACCTCACCTGGAGCATCACATGCAATGCCTTTCACAGTATTTTGTTGCGTCTTTCGGTCCAAACAGTCACTACCGATTTGATGCTTAGTGTGATCAGCAGCAGGGATGGACTGTTTGTGTAAGCTATCTCAGGTAAATGTGCAGAGTTGCCTCCCTTGTGCTTGCCACAATTCTACCAGTTGTCCGACTTCCATTGTTGTTGAAGTCTCAGTGGCTGAGTGGGTTAGGCGTCTGACTTTGTGTGCTGGCAATTAGGTGCCTGACTCTGAGGGTGTGGGTTTGAATCCCGGATTAGACTCAACCCAACAAAAGTACTAGAATCTGTACTTGACTAAGAACCTGTAACATGTTTTAGAGTTAAGGTAGAAGTTTGCAACATTAATAAATCCTAGTATGTATTTTGTAGACATTTAAAAACATATAATGTGAAATACATGTCTGTAGTTCAAAGAATCAGTTTCATTCATTTCTCTCTCTCTCAAGTTCATATTCATATTGAAAGGTCAATAGTTGTAGTTCAAAGAATTGCTTTTATTCTTTTCTTCCAAGTTCATCATATTCATATTGAATCGTCAATATTTGTAGTTTGAAAGCAGATTCGGGTCAATTCAATGCAAGTGTCCTTGCTATAGATTGACTGCAATAAAGAAATATGGAATCTGTAGTTCCATATAATGTTATCAGTATCGCAACATTAACATTTTCAACTTCATCAATAAAGATACACTTTTGACAAAGTTTTACATTTCTTACCACCTGCAGCGATAAATAATGTTACAGTAACTTACATGACTACTATTTCAGTAAATAACTCTTATTACTTGTTAAATTAATGACTGTGAAAGCCTTAACAAACGAAAATCTGAGAAATCTCTTTTTAGAACTCGTGCAAAGCGAACGAGTTTTGAATGCAGCAAACAGTATTGAAAAGACACCAAAATTTGTGGACCTTGTGGGAAACGCCCTGGGCACAAATATCATTACTTCAAATTGCAGAAATGCTGCTGATACATCCACATGAAACTCTTCATTTTTCTATAAATATATCTCACTTGACACCATGTTACCTCGGTAGCCAACTGTACACTGACATGTTAGTCCTGATTACAGTTGTTCTCTGTATGATGCCACAAGTTAATGTGTAACACCTTCAAGTGACTGAGTAAGTTAAGATTCACACCGCACTCAGCAATATTCCAGCTATATGGTGGTGGTCTGCAAATAATTGAGTCTGGACCAGACAATCCAATGATCAACAGCGTGAGCATCGATCCACGCAACCGGGACACGATGACAGGTGTCAACTGAGCCAGCGAGCCTGACCACCCGATCCCGGTAGTTGCCTCTCACGACAAGCATGGGTTACTGAAGATGAATTGAAACCTGGACTGTAACACTTTCAAGATTAATTATTATCATGGTACTATTACTATGACAAACAGTCAATAAATACACAAGGATGTCCATTTGAGGTAACTCTCCATATAAGAGTCACCTTAATGTCACAATGATCATTGCCTTTAACATTCATTTAAGGCATTATCTGCTTCCAAAAGCAAACACAGTTTGTCAATAAGACAAACCAGTTCAACCGACATGGTTTTCACTCTTACACTGCGAACAAAGCCTTTGTTGTCTGGAAAAGTGTCCACAATTTTGCCCATAGCCCACATACTATTCTGCTTCATGCTGTAAAGTCAGGATTTATTCAGGAGTTTTTAGTGACATCATTTTCTGTGAAGAGGTATACACCAAAGAAACCAAATTGAAAAATGTGCAAAAAAAATTAGGGTATGATCTGTTTCATCAATTTAGACTTTGATATAAATTGAAGTCATGACACAAGTCTCCTTGTACTAAGAGTAATTTGTCATCACCTCAGCACACAAAGTCAGTGATCTAACCCACTCAGCCACTGCAGCTTTCACAAAATGGAAGTGGGACAACTGGTAATAAAGATCAGACCAACCTGACAAGTATATATGTGACCATCAATTTGAACCCGTGAAGATCTGGGTTAGAAATTATCTTCAGTAACCCATGCTTGTCGTAAGAGGTGACAAACAAGATCGGGTGGTTAGGCTTGCTGACTTGTTTGACATTTGTCACCGTATCCCAATTGCATAGATCAATGCTAGTACTGTTGATCACTGGATCGTCTGTCCCGCTCAAGACCGCCTCCATGGTGTAGTGGTTAGAGCGTCCGCCCAGAGAGCGGAAGGTCGCGGGTTCGATCCCCGGCCGCGTCATACCAAAAGACGTTAAACTATGGTACTTGTTCAGGGGGGGATACAGCTTTTTGAGAAAGGGGGGGTGCACACTATTGAGAAAAGGAGGGGTGCACACTTCATTTTCACCCAAGTTTCAATGGTCATTTAATAAACTTTCAGGACAAAGGGGGGGGGGGATGCGCACCCCTGCACCCCCCTCTGGATCCGCCTATGCTTGTGGACTGGTCGGCTCGGAGTCAGTATAATGTGTCTGAGTGGGATATTCATGCTTCACTGCGGCATGGTATGTCAGTGGGCTAGCACTATAAAACCAGCTTAAGTCTGGGCTAGTACAAGCAGCCGAACATACACATACACACACATGCACGTCGTCATATGAGCGAAATATTCTCAGGCACGACGTTAAACCCAATTTCACCTCACCTCACCTCACCTGTCCCGCTCGATTATGTTCAGACTGCCACCATATAGCTAGAATATTGCTGTGCTGTGCTAAACAACACGTAGACATACAAACTTTTTCAGGCCAGAAACCTGTGAACGAGGGTTCATGTCCCAGTTATTATTTCTACAGGTCTGACGGCTGGTGGGGTAGTCTAGTGGTTAAAGCCTTCACCCGTCACGCTCAAGACCCGGGTTCGATTCCCCACATGGGTACAATGTGTGAACCCTTTTCTGATGTCCCTCATAATAATGCTGGAATATTGCTAAAAGCGGCCTAAAACTTATCTCACTCACTCACTATGGGTCTGACAGCACCATACCAGTGCTTGTGAATTTCACCAAAGTGGTAACCCTGCATCACTTAGGGCTCTCTTCACGTGTTGATGTGACATGCAGTGATATGGACTGGAATACTGTCCAAATCGGTGCTAACCAAACTCACTGGCTGACTCATGCTACAATTATGAATAAGTGATGAAGCAAAGAAAATAAAATATTGGTTGGCATGAGAATCAGGGCCTATATTTTCGAGGCTCTCTTAGCGCTAAGAGAGTCGTAAGTTAATGTTTATGTATGGCACTTACGACTATCTTAGCGCTAAGAGAGCTTCGAAACTCTAGGCCCTGGAGTTTAGCATTCAGGTGTTTCATTTGTTAATTTCCTTTGTGGCACACAGCGCTAGCTGGGATTTTATGTTGATACAGAATATGTCCTTGAATCGTGTGTGTTCTACATGTCCATGTACTCCATGCTCTCTATGTGTGTCTCTGTCCTTCATTGTGAAGCTTGAGATTGCTTGGCACCCAGGATCCTTGAAGCTTCTCTATCAGGCGCAAGCCTTTGTCTGCAGACAATTCAAGCAACAGTGTGTTTTAAAGATATCAGAGTTTGGTTGCCATATATCAACAAGCATTACTGTCACAAGTTCTCTATCTTATTTAATGCACATTCTTCATCCACATTCTAACTGAAATGAAGATGCAGAAATTGTAAGCAATTTGTGTACAGACTCATCATGTTGTGAATTTGAGTGTTTTGACAGAGCAAACCAGGTTATTCTATTTTATTTCATGTAATTTTTGATAGACCTGTCCTGTATTTCACCTGTTCCCCGTCTGTACAACACTTGCTGGTCCTGTATGGAACATTGTTCCACATCTCCTGGGTACATCGTCCTCTGGTCCTCCTGTCCTGTATGTAACATCTTCCTTGTCCTGTGTTACATTTATTCCTGTCAGTGTAACCCATGTCCATGTCCATGTCACATGGTCCAGTCCTCTATGTCACATGGTCCAGTCCTCTATGTCACATGGTCCAGTCCTCTATGTCACATGGTCCTATCCTCTATGTCACACGCCCCTTCCTCTTCGTGGTCCAGTCCTCTAAATGACATGGTCCAGTCCTCTAAATAACATGGTCCAGTCCTCTATGTCACATATGTCATATGGTCCAGTCCTCTAAATAACATGGTCCACTCCTCTATGTCACATGGTCTAGTCCTCTATGTCACATGGTCCTGTCCTCTATGTCACACGCCCCTTCCTCTGCGTGACATGGTTCAGTCCTCTAAATAACATGGTCCAGTCTTCTGTGCAGCTAGGTCCTTCTGTCTGCTCCAGATCGCCTGTGTGACATGCTGGAGGAGGACCTGATCCACATGAAGATCATGCCGTATGTGAAGATCGACATCGGCAACGAGGACATCCTGGAGGCCAGCCTCCAGCTGCTGCACCTGATGTTCAATGATGGTAACGAAGGCAACCTTGTCATGTGATTCCAGAATATTCAGGCAGTAGATATTGTGATATTTCCCATGAATACATGAATGTTTAATGTCCTTGTGCAATACAGGGCTAAGATTGCCATAAACAGTGTAAAAAGCACAAGGAATCATTATCTGAAGAACACTGTTTATTCAACTAGATACAGTCTTGTTTGACAAGGAACAAATGTGCTGAACTGCAAGACTGACAAGATAAGTTTGATATTTTCACATGGCACACAATTGCATTACATGGATTTCATTTTGCTACTTCACAAAAGACTATCAAGAAGTTTATTTCGCCACTTTCAGAACTCCAAGCATAAAACCAAGAGTAGACAGTCATTTATCTCAGTGATGTTGTATGGAAAATTATTTCCATAATAACCCTGGAAAATTATATCCAAAAAAAACCCTGTTTTACTGGTGTCAATAGGGAATCTGTGAAGGCACAGGCTCATACTCTGTTGTATTCTGACCACCAGTGTTCTGTCACTAAGATACCGTTTTTTTCCTTACCAGCCAAAGTGGTGGCGTCGGCAGTGGAGACAGGGTTCATCAAAGACTCCCTGGTTCCGGTGATGCTGGGGAAGCCAGCCAATGAGACCATCCAGGTGTCGGGACTGCACATGTTCAGCATGTCAGGTGGGTGCAACTAATTATTGATAATAATCAGAAACAAAGGTCATGGACTGACTGACTGAGTTTGGTTTTACGCCGCTTTTAGCAATATTCCAGCAACATCACGGCGTGGGACACCAGAAACAAAGGTCATGGACTGACTGACTGAGTTTGGTTTTACGCCGCTTTTAGCAATATTCCAGCAACATCACGGCGGGGGACACCAGAAACAAAGGTCATGGACTGACTGACTGAGTTTGGTTTTACGCTGCTTTTAGCAATATTCCAGCAACATCACGGCGGGGGACACCAGAAACAAAGGTCATGGACTGACTGACTGAGTTTGGTTTTACGCCGCTTTTAGCAATATTCCAGCAACATCACGGCGGGGGACACACTAGAAACAAAGGTCATGGACTGACTGACTGAGTTTGGTTTTACGCCGCTTTTAGCAATATTCCAGCAACATCACGGCGGGGGACACCAGAAACAAAGGTCATGGATCATAAGGGTGCTTTTATATTTATATGATCTGCATTATCAGTTAATTTAGTTTTATAAAAATGTTATACATTCTAATGTGGTAATGTGTAATTTCAGCCATGGCCTTGTTCGAGGACCACTCCACGATGGACATGGCCTTCCAGTGGCTGAAGGTCATCTATATGGCCATGTCCAAACTCATGGACTGTCCAGCAGTTCAGGTCAGTAGAAGCACACAGTACCGTCTCTCTCACACAAGTTATTTGGATGTAAAACATCTGAAAATTACAGAAACTGTTCAAGAACCAGTTTATGCAGATTCTTTAGTACATGTATTTTCTGGTTGTCTACAAATAACAGAATCTTAACACAGTGCGCCGAAGGTTATGTTTCTCCCATACAATATCCCATGTTTGCTGTGTGAAATTTATAGAAACTTGATTGTGGGTTGTGATTCACCTGCCAAACGGGAGAGAATATGAATTTATGAAATGAAAGTTCTGTATGTGGATACAAATCATATTGCATAGATATTGTGTAGGGGTGAAACGGTACGCTCTTACCACAGTATGGTACATATTGCGGTACAAGGCCTTCGGTTCGGTCCAGTTCGGTTTGATATGTGAGATATGATCATAATGCAGAAAATTGACAAGAACCAAACCTAGATAGATTTTGACAAAATGATTTGATTTCAAGATATTTTACAAAAGGTTTTAAAAGGTTTATTAAATGACGGTATGAAAACCAAAAATACAGAATTTTGGGATACTCAAAGCAAAGGCATAATACTGCGGTTCTACCAATACCGTAGTATACCATTTCACCCCTAATATTATGGTCGAACCATATTGTTACACCTGTTGTCAATAATATATACACTTTTAAAAGAAAAACTTTTTTCCAAGTAATATTTCAATGACTATCATATATAGATCCATGAATGGAAATCTTATGGCTCAGAAAATAGCACTTGACCCTGGGCTGACCTTGACTGTAGATTTCTGAGAGAGAGAAAAACGTCAAAACGAATTCCATGAGAAATAAAAATGTAAAATACCATAGCACTACCTACTAACATAACAAGGAAGGAAGATTTCTGAAGTTTTGGTGTAAGAGATTTTTCATGAAATATGCCACCCTGTGTATTTCTCCAGGAAGCTGGTTGTCTGGCGCTGTGTGAGCTCTTGGCGTGTAAGTCAGAAGCCTACATGTGGATTGGAGAGAGCTCGGAACTCAAACAGTGAGTAGCCCAAACAGTATCAAATGGCGAACAAACCAAGAAATATTATCAGTCTGAAACTGGGATTCTGATCTGCAGTTTCACGTTCAGACCTATGAGATGATACACATGTACAGTGCATTGTATTGCCTTACAAAACTCAGAATGTGAGAGGATGGTGAAGAGAGGATGGTGGGATGTGAACTGTGTTTGACTGTTTCAGGGACCCCACCGCACACTCTGTGTCTGGGAGCTGTGTTGATGGGGAGGCGGGAGCTGGTGTGTGATCTGTGTTTGACTGTTTCAGGGACCCCCTGCACACCCTGTGTCTGGGATCTGTGTTGATCGGGAGGTGGGAGCTGGTGTGTGATCTGTGTTTGACTGTTTCAGGGACCCCCTGCACACTCTGTGTCTGGGAGCTGTGTTGATGGGGAGGAGGGAGCTGGTGTGTGAACTGTGTTTGACTGTTTCAGGGACCCCCTGCACACTCTGTGTCTGGGAGCTGTGTTGATCGGGAGGTGGGAGCTGGTGTGTGAACTGTGTTTGACTGTTTCAGGGACCCCCTGCACACTGTGTGTCTGGGAGCCGTGTTGATCGGGAGGTGGGAGCTGGTGTGTGAACTAAGTTTGACTGTTTCAGGGACCCTCTGCACACTGTGTGTCTGGGAGCCGTGTTGATCGGGAGGGAGGGAGCTGGTGTGTGAACTGTGTTTGACTGTTTCACCCCCTGCACACTGTGTGTCTGGGAGCCGTGTTGATCGGGAGGTGGGAGCTGGTGTGTGAACTGTGTTTGACTGTTTCAGGGACCCCCTGCACACTCTGTGTCTGGGAGCTGTGTTGATGGGGAGGGGGAGCTGGGTGTGAGCTGGTGTGTGAACTGTGTTTGACTGTTTCAGGGACCCCTGCACACCCACTGTGTGTCTGGGAGCCGTGTTGATGGGGAGGTGGGAGCTGGTGTGTGAACTGTGTTTGACTGTTTCAGGGACCCCCTGCACACCCTGTGTCTGGGAGCAGGGTGTTGATGGGGAGGAGGGAGCTGGTGTGTGAACTGTGTTTGACTGTTTCAGGGACCCCCTGCACACCCTGTGTCTGGGAGCTGTGTTGATGGGGAGGAGGGAGCTGGTGTGTGAACTGTGTTTGACTGTTTCAGGGACCCCCTGCACACCTGTGTCTGGGAGCCGTGTTGATGGGGAGGAGGGAGCTGGTGTGTGAACTGTGTTTGACTGTTTCAGGGACCCCCTGCACACCCTGTGTCTGGGAGCTGTGTTGATTGGGAGGTGGGAGCTGGTGTGTGAACTGTGTTTGACTGTTTCAGGGACCCCCTGCACACCCTGTGTCTGGGAGCCATGTTGATGGGGAGGAGGGAGCTGGCTGTCTTCACTGCAGCATGTAACGCCTTCTATCACCTTACTGCTGATAATGGTGATTATGTTTACCATATCATTGATTATTATTATTAATATTCACCTCACTGCACCAAGTGACAATTTCCACTGGTTGATAGTAGGGCTGTGTATTGGCAAATAGATTGTATTGCAATATATTGCGATTCAGGTACCCTGTGTTGTGATACACAATGCGTTATATATGGAACTTAGGTGTTTGACAGTAGGTGACATTAACTGTACATGTCGATCCTATTTTCTATATTATAAGTCCCTAAACATATATGTTATGGTTCTGATAAGGGCAATCTTAAACTCAGGTTGCATTGTCAGGGATTCTGTTTTCTTTTTTATTACAGTGTGCCGTTTGGTCATTGAAACAAAGTAAAACATGTGTTGTGAATGAATGTCTGGGTAGATTTCAATTTAAATGATCATCACAAAAACTTCACCTATGTTTTTTACCCAGTATACCGGTTCTCAGAAAAGAAATATTACAATACGTATCGTTTGAAGAGCATATTGTGGTATACCGGTATAGCGGTAATACTGTGCAGTCCTAGCTGATAGAATGAGTAACGGTCTTCTCCTTGGGTGATGACACACCATCAGCTGCCTTACACATAATTACCTGACCGTGAAGATCCGGTTAGAATTGATCTTCAGTAACCTATGCTTGTCGTAAGAGGCGACTAACAGGATCGGGTGGTCAGGCTCGCTGACTTGGTTGACACATGTCATCGTAACCCAATTGCGTAGATCGATGCTCATGCTGTTGATGACTGGATTGTCTGGTCCAGACTGGATTATTTACAGACTGCTGCCATAATGCTGGAATATTGCTGAGTGCAGCGTAAAACTAAACTCACTCATAATTACGTTAGTGCTACCAGTATGAAACAACACGTCCTACTGCATGTTATGATTTGTAGGAAGAGTAGGTAGATCCTGCAACGGAAATATCAGCTGATCCTATTCTTCAACCGCGTATTTGTTGTCAGATGTACAGGGCTGTCTATATGTGAAATATGTGGTCTATCTTCCAGACGGACTGTGCAAGTGTCTGATGGAGAAGAACGCCCACATCGCTGTCCTGGAGGGTGTAGCTGCCCATGTCACAGATGCTGCTGCCATGGCTGCCGCTTGTCGTGCATTACGTGGACTCAGTATCTTCCAGTATGTCAGCAACATAGCAATATCATTATCAGACCAGACCCAAGTGATAAAGATCGTTATGAGACCCAAGTTATTAACATCAGAATCAGATCATAGTCATTGACATCATTATCAGACCTTAGTCACTGACATCATTATCAGACCCTAGCCATGAAGATCATTATCAGACCCAAGTAATGAAGATCATTATCAGACCCTAGCAATTGACATCATTATATGTCCTTAATCATGAAGATCATTATCAGACCCTAGCCATGAAGATCATTATCAAACACTAGCCATGAAGATCATTATCAGACCCTAGCCATTAAGATCATTATTAGACCCAAGTAATGAAGATCATTATCAGATCCTAGCAATTGACATCATTTTATGTCCTTAATCATGAAGATCATTATCAGACCCTAGCCATGAAGATCATTATCAGACACTAGCCATGAAGATCATTATCAGACCCTAGCCATTAAGATCATTATTAGACCCAAGTAATGAAGATCATTATCAGACCCTAGCAATTGACATCATTATCTGTCCTTATTCATGAAGATCATTATCTGTCCTTATTCATGAAGATCATTCTGAGTCCCTAGCCATGAAGATCATCATCAGACCCTAGCTATGAAGATTATTCTCAGTCCCTAGCCATGAAGATCATCATCAGACCCTAGCTATGAAGATCATTATCAGACCCTAGCCATGAAGATCATTATCAGACCCTAGTCATGAAGATCATCAGATCCTAGCCATGGAGATCATTATTAGACCTTAGTCATTAAATATCATTATCACACCCTAGCCATGAAGATCATTATCCGACCCTAGCCATGAACATCATTATCAGACGTTATTGCTTGTTAACATTTCACCAAGATCTGAGGATATCCCACTAGAGGTCACATCTGAATGACCTTTCCTCTGACCAATCAGAGTATTGCTTCTCAGATGAAAGAAGAGACAGGACAAATGTGTTTTCTAATCATTCAAATTTAAAAATATTAACATAGACATTTTGAATGTCAGCTACAGGCTATATGATGGATTCCCTCATTATGTCTGTGTGTCTCTTGCTTCTCTGGGATAAATATCTGAAAAGGAAGACACTTTAGTAGTCCATGAGAAGTACTGAAACACATTCTCATCCATCTTTTAGACGTTCCATAATGTATATTTTTCAGTTTTCAAATTTAATTGAGACCTTTTTCAAAATATTCTTCAAAGTGTAGTCTGGTACAGAAGTTGCAGCTTGAAACTGGGGCCTTAAAGGTTGAGGAAGCTGCGTTCTGATTAGCTAATGTCGACTTGTGAGTCATTTTATTGGTCGGTCAGAGTTCCTGAAATGTACGTCAGACGTGGTAGTTGGCATTAACATCTGCGTTTTATGAGAAAATAAGTGAGTGTATGGTTTTAGTCAACTTTTAGTAGTACTCCAGCAATATCACGGTGGGGGACACCAGAAATGGGCTTCATTGTACCCATGGGGGAATTGAACCCCCCATGACGAGCGACTGCTTTAACCACCAGGCTACCCCACTGCTGTTATGAGTTCAGTAACACCTTCAGTTAGTGCTACAGTACAGTCTTGATTATATAAGGGCAGTGGATAGCTCAGTGGTTAAGGTGTTCATTCGTCATGTCGAAGACCCAGGTTCAAATCCCCACATTGGTACAATGAGTGAAGCCCATTTCTGGTGTCCCCTCTGTGATGTTGCTGGGATATTGCTAAAAGCAGCATAAAACCGTACTCATTCACTCTCTGTTGATTGTATATGTTTGGAATGGATGTATTTTTAAGATAAGGCCAGACTAATTTTATTGCTTGTTTTTTTCTGGATCGGCCTGTCTTATTTTTTCAAGAATATGAAAAACAATAAAAAATTAATTTTCCCTGCTCAAAAAATAAAATCCTGATGTTTTTATTGGCCAAAAATGTAAACTTACAAGAAAAATGTTTTTTAGATGTGTTTTGCCCCATATACACTTCATAAATTGCCAAAAGTAAAATAGTATTTAGAAGGAAGGAATATTACTTTGACAGGTGATTTTATTTTTTTTAAATTTTTTCCCTCCTGCCTTTAGGTTTTCTGAGGACCAAAATACGTAAAACAAGAAATAAAATTGGTCTGGCCTAAAGTACTTTATTCATATTGGTTGTGAATATTTGTTACAGTGATGAGCACAAACAAGCCGTATCAGAACAAGACAAGACACTCATTTATTTAACTGAAATCCTCCGGACTTTTCAAAATGACACAAATGTTCAGAGTGAAGCAATTAGCACTGTAGCTTGTTTAGCAGATGTGGGTGAGTATTCAAACTTATCTGTCCATGTTTTGTTAGTTGAAAAAAAACAGAAATTGGCAGTATTCCAGCTGTTGTATATGTCCTGTGAGTCATTAAGTCATACCCAGACATTTTGATGGTTGGTGTTATGTTGATGACTATATACTGGTCACTTTGGAAAATGTATAAACCAGCATACTGAAACAAAGACTTACGGCAGTCGTAGCACTACGATAGCTTTATGGCCCTGGCTTGTAACTGATTGAGTGGGTAAGGTTCTACACCATTTTGAGTGATATTCCTGCAGTGTCATGGTAGAGGACACCAGAAATGGGCGTCACACATTGTACTCATGTGGGAATCGATCTCGGGTCTTCAGTGTGACAAGTAAATGCTTTAACCACTGGGCTACCCCACCACATCGGTTGTAATCGAGACATCTTTGCTACGCAAAAGAAGTTAACGAAGACCTAAGTTTTCACTATAGTTTATGTCTTGGCTAGCTGATATTGCCTTCCATATGTGAGTTTTCTTTAAATGCTTGGAGTAGTACACATTGCTCTCATGTGCTTAATTGATGTGAGTCATGTGAAAGCAGAATTTTAAGTGGAAACTTCTTTAAGCAGATTTCTACTCTGGTTTGAAAATACCAATGTGAGTACAACTATGTTGAATACCTCAAGAGAAAATACTCAATTGGCAAAAAAAATAAAATTTCTTGTGTAGTTGTAATACTATTGAGAATCATTAGTGATTCTGTTTTTGTTTCAGATGTATTTCGACATCTTTGTTTTGTAAAAAAAATCCACAAAAAAATCCTTGTTGCCATGGAAGTGTTTCCTGATAATGAAATCCTCCAAGAGGCTGGCATTGAAGCACTGGCAGTTCTGGGTGGAGCAGGTATGTTGTCACATAACCAGGCACCTGTTCTACACATTCCACTTTAAACAGTCTGGAAACGGCCTTACCCTCCTGGGAGCCATGCTCTCTCTAGATTTCTCTCCTTGTACACAAGAATGAGTGAGTATGGTTTACGCTGCTTTTAGCAATATTCCAGCGATATCATGGCAGAGGACACCAGAAATGGGCTTCACACATTGTACCCATGTGGGGAATCGAACCTAGATCATCTGCAGGAAAAGCGAATGCTTTGACCACAAGGCTACCCAGCCATCTCCTTGTACACAAGATGGAAGCAGTTTGTAGTGAGGTTTTCTGGAGTTCTGGTACTGGTATCATAGACAAGAAGGCCAACATACAGCCATATGTGTAGGACAAAACACGCCCAAGTGTTTATTGAGATTTAAAACCTCAATCTGTAACCAGAGGGAAAGTATTTTATCTAAGTTATGAACCCCCAGTGACTATGTGTCCCAGTCCACCCAGCTGTGAATGGGTACCTCATAAGGATGGGAAAGCCACATTATATTGGTGTGCCAAAATGGCTGCAAGAGTTGTATTCTCCCCAGGGAGTTGAGATTGATAATACGATGTACCGTTCAGATTGACATCCGGCGATCGAGGGAAAAATTAAGCACCTTTGAGCAGTTCAGTTGGAACTCAGCACTATGCAAATATCAGATATATAAAAAATAAATGAAAATAAACCCCCAAGAATCTTAATTTCTGACAAAGAAATGTTTCCGATATTTTGAATGCCATGAAGTATATTCAGTTTGTAAGTACTTGTTACGTTTATTTGTTTGTGAGTATTGTTTGTTTTCTCATTTCCAGTGAACGGAGCTGAGATCCTGAATTCTATGGATGTCGTGCAGAAGGTGGTCCGCAGCCTCCAGAAATACTCCAACAATGACAGTAAGTTCATATTTTGCTTCATGTTTCTTTATAATATATAAATATATGGTTTATTTAGAAATGTACATAATATTTTGAAAGGAAAATACTTCCAATGGTAAATCAGTAAGGGGTTTTGGACAAGTGTCCAGCTTGTGATCAGGATGTCCATTGTTTTAATCCAGGAATTCAGCGATAGCTGGAGCACATCCAAAATCATAGTTACTGTATTCTCCATATTAATCAGTCAATTAGGGTCCTAAGTGGTCAAAGTGTCTACTTGTCATGCCCATGACCCAGGTTCGATTCCCCACATGGGTACAATATGTGAAACCAATTCCTTGTGTCCCCTTGCTTAAGTATTTCTTGATGCGGCGTGAAACCCAACTCAGTCAGTCTCCTTCGTTGTACAACCCTGACTAACTTCTACAGTAATAATGTTATAAGCATCCTGAGGCTTTTTTGATTGGATGACTATTTTGGATATCAAAGAGCATAGTGATTCATGAGTCCATGGTATTTCCTATTACATTGGAGAAAAACTACCCTTGTTAATCGAGGATGATGAGGAGTTGCATGCCGTGATCTTCCTCATCCATTGGTTGAGGATATTTATCCTAGTGGACTGGAGAAAATACCCTGCATAAATAAGGATGATGTGACCTCATCCATGGATGAGGTAATCTGTCTCACAGTCCCAGAACCGTATTATTTTCCATTCCACCCAGCCCTTTCTGGAGTGCTTAAGCCCTAAATGAAGCAAGTCTAGATTTCCTCAGAATCAGTATCTCTTTTTATCCCCTGCAATGCGTTTTGCGGGGGGTATTAAAATGGACTCCGTCCGTGCACATTTGTCTTTTCCGGAGCAGAACTCTAAAACCGTTCTATATTTCTTCACCAAACTTGGCACATAGATTGGTCTGGTGATGTACTGGTGCCTTTTGGTTGTTTTGGAATTCTGAATAAAATATTTTTGGCATTTCCATGGCAACAAGTTTGACTTAGCCTGAAATTAGTGGTAGTGCTCTTTTCCGGAGCAGAACTCTAAAACCGTTCTGTATTTCTTCCCCAAACTTGACACATAGATTTGTCTGGTGGTATACTGGTTCCTTTTTGGTAGTTTTGGAATTCTGAATAAAATATATTTGGCGTTTCCATGGCAACAAGTTTGACTAAAACAGAAATTAGTGGTAGTGCACTTTTCCGGAGCAGAACTCTAAAACTGTTCAAAGTTTCTTCACCAAACTTGGCACATACATAGATTTGGTGGTGTACTGGTGCCTTTTGGTAGTTTTGGATTTCTGAATAAAATATTTTTGGCATTTCCATGGCAACAGGTTTGACATAGACTGAAATTGGTGATTGTGCTCCTTCTGGAGCAGAACTTTAAAAACCTTTCAATACTCTCCTTCCACTTTTCTATATACACACCTAAATATTTGACATAATCATAACTCGTAGACATTATCATGAAGAGTATTTTGCCATTGTGGGGGATTTTGATGACTTTGTCTTCTTTCACCATTTGGGCGCCTTTCTGTCAAAACTATGTCTATTCAGAATCTAAGAGTAAGTCTAGGGTGGAGGGTATTTATCCTAACAGACTGGGAAAATACCCTGGATAAATGAGGATGATGTGACCTTCCTTATCCATGGTTCCAGATATCCAGAAGAAGGCGCTCATCTTGGTTCAGATCTTGGCGGACACCAAACTGGTGTCATCCCTAGTGACGTGCGACATGTTGGCGGACGCCATCAGCAACGTTATGGCAGGACACCCAAACAACATCAGCATCCAGAGAGAGGTACCCTTACAACCTGATTAGTTGGGCTACAACTGCTCAATATTCATACTAGTTTAGTTTGTTGTGTATCTTCGCACATTGCAGTCAGCTGTCTGTAACCATTTTAGTGTGGACCGAACATTCCAATGATTAACATCATGAGCTTTGATCTGTGCAATTTGGAAACAATGACATATCTTATACAAAGTCAGCAAGCCTTACCACCTGATCATGTTAGTCGAATCTTATGACAAGCATGGGTTACTGAAGATAAATTCGAATATATATCTTCATGAGGGTAAATTTCTGTAACCCTGATTTGTCTGGGTTGTTTTTAATTTGTAGTCTACAATATTGCAGATGAAGCTTGTCAACCTGTAAATAGTCAAATGTGTAGTATGAAAATCTTTGATATTAGTAAAATTCCTGGCTGATAGGTGTGATGAGACAGCGAGATAAGTGTTATCCTTAGATGTCCACATCAGTTAGGCCTCATGGTGAATCCTGTATTGGTGACCACCTTGAACATCTACCACAGAAAGTAACTTGTAAATGTATTGGAAAATTGGTTTTAAAATGGCGCCCTAGAATTTGTTGACTATCAGACCCTATGACAGTGTATTTTCAAATGATTTAATATGGAACTCATTTTGCGGGGGGTATTTAAACTGACTCGTTCCGTGCGTCCGTCCGTGCACATTCGTCTTTTCCAGAGCAGAACTTTAAAAACGTTCAATATTTATTCACCAAACTTGGCACATAGATAGGTCTCGTGGTGAATTGGGGCCTTTTGGTAGATTTGGAATTCTGAATAAAATATTTTTTTGTCTCCATGGCAACAAGTTTGGGCTCAGAACATTTCAGATGCAACTAAAAAATATATATATACTGGACAAAATAAGTTAGGGATATTGGTGTTTTTATGATTGATATTTTATTAGTGTGTCAATGAATAAATAGATCATTATTCATAATTCAAAATTTACATATATCCCTAACTATTTTTGTCCAGTATATAAAGAAAAGGCAAAATAACTAATTAGAAATAAATGTTAAATCATACCCACCCAACTCTATTTACTTCATGGCAACAGGTGTGGAACATACAAGACAAGTATATGGGTGGCAACTTCTTGTTTATTGTATAACACAATGAGAACAATGGAACATGTTCCTTGTACCGATGCTTGTTACTAATCCGTATCCTGTGTTCCACAGGCTGTGGTTGCCATGCACATTCTGGCAGAGAAAAGCCAGCGTATGAGTGAAGTCCTTGTCAACAAAGACTGTCATGAAGTGCTATTTTGCATTCTCGAGAACTTTGATGCTGACCAAGGTAAGAAACAAACACAATGTTTATGTTCTTGCTCAGCCCCAGCTATGAGACATTCAAATATATTTTTATGAAAGCTGAAATAATGCCAGTGCTGAAAGAAGTCAAACATGTTTTGGAGAGACTCATTATTTTTCCAGCGCATCATGTTTAGTGACAGCTATAATTTGTTTTATTTCAGCCTTTCGGAGAACTTTCTTTTTTTCAAAATATTCACAAATGACCAATATAAGAAATGAGTCCCCCAATCATAAGAGATTCAGTATCTAAGATTCTGAAATATACCAAGATGAGGCATAGTATTAGGCCATGTAACAACTTCTGCACTTCCTATATAACAGTAAGAAACAGAAAGATGAAGGTGGTCAGAATCATACAGTGAGCTCTGCCTGCACCAGTGATTTGTCTGGATTTGAGCGACATTGGGTAGTCTAGTGGGTAGTCTAGTGGTTAAAGCTTTTCCAACGAAGATCCCTGTTTGATTCCTCTCATGGGCACAAAGCCCATTTCTGGTGTCCCCGTGGTGATATTGCTGGAATATTGCTAAAAGTTGTGCAAAAGTAAACCAACACACTTATATTATGCAGCAGTATGTTTGGAGCTTTACTTCTATTATCATGATTCTCAATGCCTTTGGTCCAACTCTTGTTCCTATGGGGTGGCGAGGTAGCCTAATAGTTAAAGTGGTCGCTCGTCACGCCGAAGACCCAGGTTCGATTCCCTACATGGGTACAATGTGTGAAGCCCATTTCTGGTATCCCCTGCTGTGATATTGTTGGAATATTGCTGAAAGCAGCATAAAACCATAGTCACTCACACACTTATTCCTCTATTGGAGTACTCTTCTGGTTGACCTAAAGCTCTCTTTGAGAAACTCCTGAGACGTTCTGAGTTGTAATTATACTCTTGTGACTTATTTGTATGCTTTGACAAGTGGAAGCTTTTGACATTGTACTTACAGGTCTACATGATCTGGCCAGTGAGTGCCTGTATGTCATTGGCTGTGTCCAGAACTTCAAGTCAAGAATGTTGCTGTGTGCTTGCAAAAATGGCTTCCTAGCTGTAAGTCTGATTTCAAAATACAAATGTAAGACTCTCCCAGTCTGAAGAATCCAAGATAGTTTTGTACTTTTGTAAATAAGATTGGGACCAAGAATCATCCTTGTTAATGATTCACATGTGAGAAATTCTCTCTCTTGTTCACAATGCAAGATGCACATGGAGAAACATCTATAGTTTGTAGCAATTTCACAATTCTTGCACTTTTAAAGAAATGGAGATGTGTTTTCAATGAAAGACAGAGCTGAACAGCATGTTTGTTATATTTACATTGAATCCAGGGTGTGGAATGTCTGATGGTGATTGGAGCAGACGTCAACACAGGTCAAGGTCAAGGCACACCACTGTACCATGCTGTTGAAAACGGAGATGAGAAGATGGTGCAGTATCTCCTGCAGCAGGTCAGTTCATTATCCAACATTCTCTGTTGCTGCAGCAATCAGGATACCATACCTAGATAACGAGGTCACAGTAATATATGTTAGTACAGTGAGAATGCGAACAAGACAAAGACTGTCTTTTCCTCTTCTAGTCTCCAAATTCTTCGATAAGCTGCTGTGTCTAAGGAAATAACCTCTTGCAAAAAGGGAATGATCATGAAGATAGATTTCACATTTGGTTCAGGAATAATCTGCATTTCCTCAAGATGACATTGCAAATAGAAATAAGAATTCATTTTTTGACCTTTGGGAACGTCACTTTTATCACAGAAGCATAAGTCTAATTTGAACTTAGTGAAACTGACAGATATGTTATCTAGATAACACCACACCTAGATAACAAGGTCACAGTAATACATGTTGGTACAATGAGAATGCTATTCCATCAAGGCACCCGTGAAGATCCGGATTAGAATATTGATCTTCAGTAACCAATGCTTGTCTTAAGAGGCGACTAATGGAATCAGGTGGTAAGGCTTGCTGACTTGGTTGACATGCCATTGTGTCCCAGGTGCATAGATTGATGTTCATGCTGTTGATCACTGGATTGTCTGGTCAAGACTCGATTATTTACAGACTGCTGCCATATAGCTGGAATATTGCACCATCTGCTTGTAGTTGTTGGCAACCTAATGGATAAGATGGTCTTGAATCATAATACAAGTTATCAAACTAAATCTTTATCATCCTCAGTGCGTCACGGATGTCCAGACTTCCCTCAATCGGAGCCTTGCCAATGATCAACACAACATCACAGGGATGCTGTTGGCTCATATCGGACAAGACAAAGACGGTCTGTTCCTCTTCTAGTCTCCAGATTCTTCTATCAGCTGTGGTATCTATGGAAATAACCTCTTGTAAAGTGGGAATGATAATGATGATAAATTTCACATTTTGTTCAGGAAAAAGACAATATCATATACAGGCTCTTCTCACAAGATGACCTGAGGGCTTTCAACCACCAAATTTGCAATGAGGGAGATTTGAGTTTGCAGTAATCAAGGTTTTCATGAGAAAATATATTTCTCTTACTTTCTGCACCTGAAATGGATACATATTCAACATCTTCTTATGCAGGTCAGAAAATCATGAATGCTGATTTAAGAAATTTTGGAAGAAAGTACCAAAGCAAATAAGAATGAGAATTCTTTTGTGTCTTGTTAGAACATCACTTTCATCACAAGAGCTTAAGTCTGGTTTGACATTTGTGGAACTGACTGGTATGTGATCTTCGGTATGAGTAGGCACACGTATAGACCTGTTTTGGGGTGTTCTGACCTTGGCTCACCTTCCAGCACCAGAACACTATTTCTTCCAGTAGAGGAAAACTTGTTATCTTGAAACTTAAAACCATACCTCTGTTTTAAAAAAAAATGGATTGATATCACTCTGCCTGGCTCACCTCAAGCTAACAAGATTTTTCTACAGAGTTATTTCCCTTTATACTCGCTGTACTTTCAGTCTGATGTCAGGTAGACATGATTCTCAGACATGGTTCTCTGTCCAGTTTGTCCTGATGTGATTTGGGTGTGGTAGATAGCTTAATGGTAAAGTGTTTGTTTGTTACACCAAAGTCCCTGGTTTGATTCACAACTGAGTGGATCATTGCTCAACATGTCCAAAAACCGACGCCCATTCCCGATGTCACTGACTTGATATTGCTGAAAGCCCTTTAATGGCGATTATAAGTGACACACATAAAGAGGGAGATTTCTAGATGTCAACTTCTTTATTATAAGGTTTCGGATGTTGTTTTGGAGAATATACTTATTACTCCATTTACCTGATGGAGTAAGAATATACTCCCAAATCTTGTCTTCCTTCACTTAGAAGTTGACATCCACAAATTTCCCCGTTCCTTCTGGATATTGCTGGATTCTAATTCAACTTAGTATGTAACACAAGTTCTGATTGGTCAATGCTATAAATTTCCGACCGTATAATCAGCATATACGGTCGCAATTTGAAAACCGATTCACCGATACCTTTGAATGTATCCCACACTATTGGGGTAATGCTGTTTCGCAGGACATTGTCATTTGCAGAAGCCATTGGTCAATTAACTCCCCTATCCAGCTAAAATGGGTGGAATTTGTGTTAAAAAAGACAAAACAGTATCATAAATTTAATTTTAAGTTCGAACAACTTATTCGCAACGGGCTGTTGACCCAACACTGTTAGATCATGAAACAAGGTTTATGACGTCATTATGTCATTCATTTGACAACAGAACTGATAATGGCCCGTAGTTGAGGAATCAGCGGGCCGCTCATTTCTGTAACTAGAGGGCGGTTTCATCATAATTCCGTCCATTTTATCTATAATACTATGATCTATTCATCATTGTCAAATTTAGTCTGTGTGCACATAATAAACGTGTGTAGTTTGAAAAGGGAACTACTTTCTCTGGCGATGGTGTAAGTTGAAGGAGTGATATGATTAACCTTTGACCTAGAGGAACTTTGACCTGGTTTAAATAATGAATTTCTTTCACGAAAACACAGCGTAAAACGAGTTGAATTAGAATGGGGATATTCAGAGTAATTGTGTTTGACGAATTGGGGACGTATATACACCGGTATACGTCCCCAATTCGTCAAACACAGTACAGTTATCCCCTAATTATTGCTAGGAGTGTTCTAAAACCTTGCTCACTCAGTCTCTCACTTCAACATTGAATTTTTATCAAATATCTTCCTGCAAGTCTATTTGGCAGCACAGTGCTATCAGTTTTACTTCATGTGTGGTGATAGACTCATACCTTATTTTGAAAAAGCATGTAACTAAAACTGACAAACATTTTGATATATGTGCGGTTTTGACTCCAGCATGCTGTAACTGAAGCGTCTCGTGGTCTTCAGTAACCATGCTTGTCGTAAGAGGCGACTAACGGGATCGGGTGGTCAGGCTCGATGACTTGGTTGACACATGTCATCGGTTCCCAAATACGTAGATCGATGCTCATGCTGTTGATCACTGGATTGTCTGGTCCAGACTCTCTTATTTACACACCACCGCCATATAGCTGGAATATTGCTGAGTGCAATGTAAAACTAAACTCACTCACTCTAGTAATACCTACAGTGCTTGTAACTCATGATGTCGCGAAATTGTCGCGTAAAGCAGCTTCCACTCACTCACTGACTGTAACTGATGAATCCTCTTTGTGTTTTCAGCTGGCACTGTATTGTGGAATGGTTTAGGCCTTGGTGACCTGCGACCTGAATGGTTCATGCCGTCACTTGCCAGAGCCAAAGAACGTTTGCTGCCATCAGGTAGGCCTCAGATCTTCATAACCTCGAACATCACATGCACCTTGTTTGATACGTCAGTTAGCAGCTCTTCTGTCCATGTTTACTGACATAAGGCCTTGCATTTGTTGTTTTACCAAAGGTTTTGCTTTATATTGAGTGTCGGTGATGGAAACTTTCAGCTTTCAGATGAGTACTGCCAGCACTGAATGGAAAACTAACTCATAGGTCAGGCTATTACAGAAGTACAATTACAAAACGAAACTCAAAGACAAATGCTTGTTTTTTTCCCTTTGTATAATGCTTTTTTATTCTTATTAGCAAGATGAGAACACCTTTCTTTTTATGTTTCACCTAATTGTATAACACTGTTAACCAAAATAAAATTGTAAAAAATCAATTTATTTATTACTTTCAGTAGTGTAATCTTTTGTTTGTACTTTCATAAACCAGCAGAGAAATAGTTAGGCCAAAGGCTTTGCACACATATGGTTCAACAATTGTGTTTAACCATGCTAAAATAGTGCATTCCTATCTTATTCCACTGCTTTTTCATGATATTTTTGTGTGATGAGATCACAAGAACACAGCTGATTGTGTTGCATTTAATGACACAGAATCACAGACAGCTTCTTTTCAGGTAAACGTTAAGTTTCATCATTCTTAAAATTCCTTCATTTGCTAAGCAAGGTCTCAGATGGAATGTACGTTTATGTGGAGTTATTTCATTGGTTGTTGATATAAAGATGATATTGACTCACAACAAATTCTGTGCAATGTTAATATATAAATATCTATAATTTCTTTCTTGATCTTGTGCACTTTGGACAGCCATGATGACCATTTATTGTTCTCAGTACATTTGCTGTACTAAAATATAATGTTTTGTCTGTACCTATTGTCATGCCAAAATGACTCCAGACACATGTGCTGTGATACTGACAGCAAAGAGTGACACCACAATGACGAACACTGTCACGTTAACTGTCGTTCATATACTGATTGTGTCAGCATGTCACATGACCTTGTTGTCACGGTAACTGTCATTCATATACTGATTGTGTCAGCATGTCACATGACCTTCTTGTCACGGTAACTGTCGTTCATATACTGTTTGTGTCAGCATGTCACATGACCTTGTCACGGTAACTGTCATTCATATACTGATTGTGTCAGCATGTCACATGACCTAATGTTGTCATGGTAACTGTCGTTCATATACTGATTGTGTCAGCATGTCACATGACCTTGTTGTCACGGTAACTGTCATTCATATACTGATTGTGTCAGCATGTCACATGATCTTGTCAATCAAGCTGCTGTAGGGGAATTCCCAGTGTCTAAAAAATAACGACAAATAGGGAATGTAGCATTATAGAACAATTCAGACAGGTCATGTATGCAGGTGGGTTAAGGTAATGAAGTACAGTCAACTCTCGTTAATCCGACACTTGTTGTTGCAGAGAAATATGTTGGATTAAAGAAAATGTCGGATTAATGAAATTGTCGGATTAATGTATTTGTGTGAAAATATCAATGTTTGCTAAATGTCATGATCGTCATACTGTTGCATGCATATCAGGTAGATCTAGTTATCTTCATCGTATGTAAAAATATTCACAGAAATAAAAAAATACTAACTATACATCCTTGTTATCAATGGTGTAACTTCTACAAGGGGTCGCTCAGCAGGTGGTGTACTCGTGACAGACATGAAAACTCATGTCGGTTGTAAACATTTTATACAGCTCGCTCTACTGTTATTTCTTGATTAAATCGTCTCAATTAATTATCCTGTGTTCCTAATTAACAAGTGTGATGTTCACCGACGTCAGTGTCAAGCAGCCAGTAAGGCACACACATTGTTTGTATACAGTCGGATCATCCAACCGGCTGTATTGATTTCGGATTAACGAATGTTTTACAATGTATTTACAATAATCAGTTGCGTCGGAGTCGGAATGCGAGAATGTCGGATTAACGAGAGTAATTATCACTGTTTTAAATGGTTCCCTAATTTTTTGTCGGATTAACGTGATTGTCGGAGTAATGAGTGTCTTATTAACGAGAGCTGACTGTATCCAATAAAAATTAAAACTCTCTCAGTGTTGATGCCATTATAGAATGTTAGTCCAGTTGAGATGACCTCTGTGTCAGTCAAATACTGGCTGGAAATATGTCTGTGAGAAGTTGAAAAGGAAGAAAATTCTGATGACAGAAGTCTGTTATCCATGATGTGGTACTTGTAGATTATTGCATAAAAAATTTGTCTGAAGAGAATGAAATTGATTATTTCTGTGATTTTCCTGTATATTAAGCTACTCATTATGATTGAACTGTCAATCATATAACAAAATATTCTGTCTGAATTTTGGCATTTTTTTCCTCTAATACTCTGGTCCTTGAGGTATGCCTTCAGTTTTATGTTGCCACCCAGATATGTATCTAGGATTTCAAACTGAATGCATTTGGGTGGCAAAATAGTCAAATCTGTAGTTTTATTTAAAATTGAGATGTAATTTACAGTGCATATTTTTTTATTCAGAGATTTTTTAACATCTTAACATTGCATTCTGTGCGATAGTGGTGTTCCGATTAATTGAAATAATCGAAGATTGGTCGCAGTGACCAAACGACCAAGCAATCGATCACATTTTCTCAAAATCGAACACAAATGATTTTGCAACTACTCGTTTAATGTTTGAAACACTTGACGACGGAACATCTAAAAATGCGTTTAATTGTTAGAAAACTCACTTGACTAACTGAAAAGTAATGACTGAATATTTCTTGAAGACTCCAGGAAGTTTTTCTTCATGATATATCAGTTATCATATTAAAGTAGCAAGTTGCATCATGTTATACATATCTGCAATAACAACCCGAATAGAAACATCTGAAAAATGATGCTAACCAATTTTTTCGATGATTGATCGGCTGTAATGAAACAATCATCAGTTATGAGATTTTAACCAATTCCCAACACTACTGTGCAATGATGTAAACTAAGCATGTAATCTGTAGTATCTTGGGATTTTTCTTCTCTTACGACCGTAATCATTGACACAGAGTATGAAATGTGACCTCAGCAATATGGGGTTTACTACTGGAATGGATGTTACGTTCAGGAATCCCAAACCCTCATGACTTCTAGTGCATTAAGGTTACACAAGTTGTCTTATACAGATACTACGTAATTCTCGTAAACGTCTTGGAATACGTATTTACAATCCTTGATGTTATCTACGCTGATGTTTTCCAACACAGTCCTCATGAGTTATGATACCTGTTTGAAAAGATCGCCATTGGTAGTTGTGTTTACGATTGTGTTTTCCATGTCCCTTTTAATTTTCAACCATATTTTTCCAATGACATTGAGGTTGGGAGATTGTGCTGGTCACTCCATGATGTTGATTTCATTTTCATGAGCATACATTCACAACATTTGCCCAGTGGACTTTGTGACCAGCCAAATGCTGCACTGTAACAGGCTCCTGACGTGTGTCTTGTGTGCCAGTGTACTGAGCAACATTATATTCCCTTAAAGTTCCAATACCATGGTATATTACACATCCCCAAACCATAATTGATAGTGTCTTGTTCTGAGGTGAACAAACGCATTTGGGTTGAAATTTCTCGTCGCCTTTCCTCCAAATAAAACCACAACTACTTTTCTCTATCACAACATATCTTATCACCAATATTTGTAGAAAATCCCTCATCATGTTATTCCCTCTGTTTGGACACTTTTGAGTAACTATTTTCATTCAATTTTGAGGTGGGATCCTTCAAAGGTTCCTATGGATTGCTCTGAGTCAGTCTAAGCAATCGTCACGCCTAAGACCCGGGTTCGAATCCCCACATGGGTACAATGTATGTGTGAAGCCCATTTCTGGTGTCCCCGCCGTGATATTGCTGGAATATTGCTAAAAGCGGCGTAAAACCAAACTCAGTCAGTCAGTCAGTCAGTCTAAGCCAAGATGTTTGATCATGGTCAGATAAGGATTTTCATTTGGTCTTTCGCGTGATGTTTTCAACTGATCAGGTTTTGTGTAATTATTTAACTAAGAATTCTGCTATTAAATAGTGACTTTTGCCTTCTTCGTATAACTTTGCTACTAATTCTTTTACCTCTAACCCTAGCTCCTTTGATTTTCCACCTATCTTCGAATATCAGCCTGTAGACAAACTGTGTTCCACAGAAAATATTTCTTGTGTGAGATCAAACGATATCTCCAAGGAGATATAATTTTGACAGTAGATTTTGTACAATGCCCTGACAATGTCATCAACTTGATGATGTCACAATGCTATGGCATCACTGCACTGCAAGTCTAATGGCAGAACCGTGTTCAGAGATGTACATTTTCACTGAGAACTAAAGAAGAGTGATTTTTTTATGATAAATAGAATCTCACCGTCATGTCTTCTGATATCAAATATATCAACACGCGTTGCTAAAAGTGAAAATATCCTCGGCAAGTAAATATATAAACTCGTTTTCATTTTACGAGTGTTTCAAAATGCCAGTCTGATGATGAAACAATCGCAAACTGGGAAGTGAATGAATATAACTGCCACAGATCTGTACTGGAAATACGCCACAAAATCTGCATCTTTAGAACTGGTACATATCTTCACAGTAATATCATCTAAGCAGTAGTGTTGGTATGATTAATTTAAATAATCGATGATTGGCTGCAGTGACTAAACGACCAAGCAATTATAATCCTCTTTTCTCATAATCAAACACAAACAATTTTGGAACACTTGTTTGCAAACAATATTTTTGTCAAGGTTGATTTTGTCTGTAATTAAATTTACATTTCATAAGCACTACAAGCTTGTTCCAAGTCATGATTCAGTTTGTCTTAAAGACTTAAGGAAATATATGTTCCTAACATAATCCATTTCTGGTGTCCCCGCCGTGATATTGCTGGAATATTGCTAAAAGTGGCGTTAAGCCATACTCCCTCACTCACTCCTAACACACTAGCTATCCTATAAAGATGTGGAATTTGCAAAGGCATTTTGTGCAGTTTGCAAAAGAAATACCCTGAAATACATGTTTATTTCTTTGTGCATTAACAACCATAACAGGAAAATCTGATAACAGACAATAACCAATTATGTTCGATGATTAAAGAACTAATCATCAATTATGAGATTTTAACCGATTCCAATCACTACTATACAGTCGAAAACATGTGTACTTTTTGTTCTATTTTTCAGTACAATTGTCAAACTGTTAACAGTTTGGGAAATGTATAAACATATTTAGTTCAAATTATGAAGCACATTCAATTAAGAATTGAATGTCACTTTGTGTGTTTGCACTGAAAAAATGAACGATGTCAAAGCGTTGTTCAAACTCGTGTGAACAAGCGAGCTTACTGCTTTAATAAGCATAACATCAATAAAATTATCAAACAGAAACAAATATCAATAACAATATCATTTTAACAAACTGTCATTGTACCTATAAAACAATGACGGATTCGTTTGACCGCGTAATAATACACTGACCGACTTCGAAGTTGTGCGGCGTGGCGAATTGGAAGCATATTTCGTTGGTGTATTCTATTTATTTGTGATTGTTTATTGTGAAATTTAATGAGCAGTTTTAAACAGATCACGGGGCAGAACCCGCAAACCGCGAGAGATTAAGCTCTTATGATAAGGAACAATGTGCGGCAATTGAAATCCGTTTGGTCGTGAAGAAACGACATTGCCAAAATTGGGGTGACTTGAAACAGGATTGCTCGCTAAATTGTCATCACCAAATGCAGCAAGATCATTGGGATTCCTTGAAACCGTAGCAGAAATTTTAAAAGTAGGTCGCACTGGCTGGGACGCTTTGTCGGTCAGATTTTTGCAAAACGGTGCTCAGTTGGTGCTTTTGTTTACATACAAAACAAGTAAGTGATATGTATAAATTAAAAGGAGGTGTGAATGCAAATTATTTCTTTGTTTACGTCAAGCTGGACAGCGAGTATCCTGGGGAAAACCCGGAAAGTAGTTCCGGCAAAAGTTCACATGACCCAGATCGGCTCGAAAATGTTCACACACGTATGAACGATGTTTACACACATATGAACGATTTGAAGGGTTCAAGGTAAATGAACCGTGAAATTTAGATCACATGACCGCTCTTTCAACCAACCAATGTTCGGTAATCTGTGTAAACTTCAAAGTACGAAATTATTGTAATGTAAAACAAAAAATGTTTCCTTATCCTGACTGATCTTTGCTTATCTCCCTTTCGAATGGTACTGGAACACTTGAATCCCTTGAAGTTGCCGAAGTGGACGTACAATACTCACCCACGAGTTACCTCCCTTCCTCTTTCCCGCGCAAACGTACCATGTGATGTGCCCAGACTTGTCACTCTCTCCCTTTTCGCCCAAGCGGATGGTTGGGCGAGCACTGGAGTCCTGTATACGGCAATTTTATCGTTTCTATTTAGGCCTATTCTTCTAAATTAAGCTGTGTATGGTT